GGGTTAATGGTTGGACTTGATCTTGAAGGTTGTTTCCAACTTTAGTGATTCTGTGATCATCAAGTCCAACCATCAAACCCAGCGTCACCATGCCCACTAAACCATGTCCTGAAGCTCAAAGCAAAGTCAGTCATGATCCAGACTATGATCCACCGCTGAGAGCATGCCAGCCAGAGACTCAGACTGATGACAGAACAACATTCAAGAGCAGGTTACGAACTTCAGCCACACTGCTGAGTGCTCCACAGGCTTTGACCTGCAGACGGGAACAAACTACGGAAAAACAACCCAAAACAAGCAAGCAAATTTGGTCACCAGGGATAAACAGCACGGGACAGTGACCTCCCTGGCTGACCGCAGTAACAACAGGAACGCTAACAACGCGCTGGAATAGGCTTTGCTCCCCTTGATGGCCTCTGTTTTCTCTTCCTGCTTCACCATGAGATTTCAGAGGAAAAAGATGGATAAAGGGAGCGTAACAACCCACAGGATCACGGAGATCTTCACCTGCAGGGTCACTGCTTTGGGGCAGTAGGGAGCATGTGAAATTTCACCTGCTGAGAGCTCTGTAAAGTGGCACCAGAGAGAGATCTCTGGAATGAATTCCCTCCTAGTTTCTACCGTGATCCAGAGAGTTAACAAAACACAACAAATCACACCAAACACAAGCCCCTGGTGTTAACTATACAGTAAGAACATTTATTTCATGTCGACACTTGTAAAAGAAACCTCTTCCAAGTCAGATGATTTGATATACAAATCAAAGCCACCGTACATTTTTCTTTTAGTCTGTCTATACCAAGCTCAAATTTATACAACATGAATGCTTGTTTCTGAAACAAAATTACAAATTAAATCATAACAAAATACACAAAATTGACTGGACCCTAAGTTTAATTCACTGAAAGAATTCTTCTTTCCTCCGATCACCTTGAACTCTGTTCTTCCCCAGCGTTATCCTCATTCTTCTGCTTGGCCATGAATTTCTGTAGAAACAAGGGTAGCCCATGAAAAAGATACTGCTGTGTTATTCTTCAGTCCACCATAAGATCATCTAAATACAGTGTAGGTTTCATAAACATGTCACCCAAATGTCAGCCTGCTCCTGATACCGGTAATGCGTGATCTGTACCAAAAAACACTCAAAAGCTCTGCTCACCAACTGACACACACACAGCCACCATGCGGTGAAGCTCCCGAGTGGAATTTTTTACAAAATATTAGGTATCAGGAGTTCACGTGACGACAGGGACCTGTGACTGGTCATGAAATATAAAATAGTAATTCAATATTCACCACAGGCTGTGTATTTCTTGTGCCCACCTTACAAAACTCTACGTCCGTAAGTATCTTCCCAGGTTTCTACCCCTCACATCAGCACCTCGCACAGGAAGGGTACACGCTGTGTCCGGGCCAGCTGGGTACTGCCGAGGCGGGGAGAGTTTTGACCACAACCAGTAAGTTTTCCAGCTGCCAAACTGACCTTTTGGTCATTTTATATTTGCAAGATCCTTCAGCCAGTCTGCAGCTTCAGCGAGACAGGAAATCCGACAAAACCATGCTTTTGGACACATCACTGCATGGTTCTTAAAATCACTTCTTAAAAAGGAAGAGCAGACAACAGCTATTCCCACGCCTTCCTAGATAAGGAAGGCTTTATGTAGGCAATGAGCTTGACTAATTTAACAATATCTGTGTCCAAGTTTAAAACTAAAACCCCTTGAAGTATTAATACGAGATCCCTAATGCCACTAGGAAATTACTAGCACTCGTTAAAGCAAACATTTTCAGAACAATATTCTTTTCAGCCCTGTGTGTTTGGAGAAGCTTCAGCATTACCTCCATGTTCTGCTGATGAAGCAGTGTCTTGCAGTGATTTTTCACAGACGTTTCATCTGCATAGAACAGCGAGCAGATCTGACAGAAAAAGCCAGCCTTTGGAACTAGGTAATCCAAATCTGAAGAGACAGCACACAACATTATCATTAACAAAACACGGCTTTAAACCATCCCATTAACAAAACACAGCTTTAAAAGAAAAACAACAAAAAAGATCAGATTCCTTTATCCAAATCTGTACAATTTGTTATTACTGGATGGAAGTCAGTTACATTTTTTCAGTATTCAAAAAAATTAGGCTTCTAATCCGAGTTGGTCACCTGCCCTATTTCAATAAACAGAGGAGGACACACGCTTTTCTGCAAATAGGACAACTGACCTTCTGGATCTGAAGCTCACTGCAACTACCTCGGCGTCTTTTGGCCTGAAAAGTATTTTATATACAACTCGTTTGCCAAGTTTAACCTCTGTCCTGCAGTGTGTTACGCAAGCATTTTCTGTCACGGAGAGTATTACACAAGCCATCAGGCGAGGATTCATATTTTCCTAGCAACCTCACTTGCAGTTCAAGTGTTATCAGTAGTTTTAGAGAAGTATTTTAGATGAGGATCTTGGAATATATAAAAAAATATAGACACACACACAGAGGTTAAAACCATGTAAGCAGTTCCTTCATTCCTATATATTGAGAGAGTTGGTAATAAATATAATAAAACTCATACCAGCATTAGAATAGTAAGTAGATATTATACTGCATAGAGATATAGAGATAGAGAGAGAGATGGAGAGAGAGAGAGAGAGATACAGAGATAGAGAGATAGAGAGATATAGCGAGAGATATGGAGATAGAGAGATATAGCGAGAGATATGGAGATATGAGGGGCGGGGGGGAGAGAGAGAGAGAGAGAGATGTTCCCCATCCCTGTAGGTATTTAAAAGATGTGCAGATGTGGCACTTAGGGACCTGGTTTAGCGGTGGACTTGGCAGTGTTAGGTTTACGGTTGGACTTCAACTTAAAAGATCTTTTCCAACCTAAATGACCCTATGATTCTATAAATAAATTAGCCTGCATTTGTAAATTAAATTTTAGGCTAAACAAACTTTCAATCTTGCTGCTGCTATTAAGTCAACAGCAGAAACATGTTAATCATGCATTTGTGGGAGCCACGACAAAAACAGAGCTTGTGGGCCATGACAGTTAAAAGTGGTCAGGAGGCAAACGAGGCATTTTCAAACGGGTAAGAAAGCTGTCTTCCAGCAAGAAAAGTATGGAGCATTTGGGGTGGGCTTTTTTGTTTTTACCTTTTGGAGTACTCTGCGTCTTTGATACATCTGAAGCAGCCCTTTTCGTTCGCTTAGGCTCTGGTTCTTTATCTCCTGATCCCAGCTGACCTACTGGAGGCCATAAATGAACGTTAAAACACAGGCATCTGCTACTTTAAAGGTATTCTATACCTAGCTGTAATGGTTCTTTACTGCTTGAAACAAACACCATCTCTACAGGCCTTGCTGCTTTCTACACTCTTCGGTTTGCTCTTTCCATAAAGCAGTTTTCAGGAGCTCCTGACATCAATCCCACAAGACTTCCAGGGCCAGCCCCGGTGCTGCGGCGAGTGACTCCAGAAGCGCTCCTGACCGCACGGCGCTCTTCACGCACCTACCACCGCCGCTCTCAGCTGCCTCCCTCTACAGCTCTTATCAGCAGTTTCAAATCAACCTTGGGTTATGATCACAAAGATCTCAACTTTGTTACAATACAAACCACGAAACTTTCTTGAATTTATCTACCTTGAGGTCCAACAGTAGCATTTCAGCCTCATTACGGAACCAGTCAAAACCAACAGAATACATTACCAGATTAACCAGCTCTAAGGAAAGATCAAAATTTTAATTAATTTTAATCAACATTTTAAGATTTTCTTCTGGAGACAAGGAGCTTGACAGTCTCTCCTCTATTACAAGACAAACAAGGTGTTTGTTTTTTAGACTATAAAAGCGGTCTAACTGGCAGGTGAAGAGTCACACATGAAAAGTATCTGGTTCCTTTCTAATTCTACGTTCAAATAATCTAGATACCAGGACGTCCCATAACAAGGTTAACGCAATAAATCCTTTCCCTTAACGACAAAACCCAGGAAGCTGTTGAAGGAACACAACAGACAGCATCACTCTTGCATCCCCTAGGCGTTTCAGCAGACCACGAGTATCTCACCGCATCATGCGACACGCGAAGTTTCAGATTTGCCGTGTGGCTCTGTACCAGCTGCGGTCCCTCATCGTTTGAGCCGCTGGCCTGAGGCAATCAATAAACTGTTTCCTATTTTGCTGTTGGAATCAGATTTTAAGACTCGAGTAATACAATTTTACCTGCTTCAACCTCTCCTTCCCAGTTTTCTTCCACTTCTCAAACTCGGGAGGATCTAGTCCTTTCCTAAGTCTACCTCTTTTGCCCAGGATTTTCACTCTACAGAGAGGAACTAAAACCACTTATTTACTGTGTATCAAATATATTTATTATAATTTGTCACTACCAGTTAGATCAGAAGACAGCTCAAGGGCGAGGATATTTTAAGAGGTCTTTTTACAGCTAACCTGCTAATAGAATACAGACAATATTTTGCAGTTGCAGTAAACACTTTTGTTAATCATGGGGAAGCTTATGTTCTGGAACACGATTAAAATGATATGTAACATTTAAATATTTTTGGGCGTGTACACAGTCAACTAATCCCTTTCCTAACGTTTACAGGAACCAAAGTTTAAAATACTCTGTTTTAAGCAAGATTGCTGCTGCTTCTGCAGCTCCTCCATATCCGCACTACTCAGCTTGCCTCTGCTGCGCAATGGGAGCGGGATGGCGGAAAAGCTTTTCCAGAACACTGAAACAAAAGGTGCTGTGTCAGCGCTCAGCTACAGCAGCAGAGGCAGAAAGAAAACTCAATACTGGTGGACTGCATCACACAGATCCTTCACCCACGCTTCGGCCAAAACTCTTCTCGTGTGTCGGTTATATATAGCTCTCCCTACTTGGCTCTGCGCTAGACTTTCTTAACCCTTTGCTAATTCCATGCTACAGATGTTCTACATTTTTTCTTCTAGATCCAGCTTGGAAGCTGTTACTGCTTTGTATCTGTGTGTCTATTCCGTTTGACTCGTTTTAATGAAGTTTGGCCCTGTAATTAAAGACTATAAATAATCTGTACAGTAGTTTAGCAGGCCTTGCATTAAAGGTGAGAAAAGAAACTATTTTCCCCAATTTTAGCCATCATAAACACCAAAGGAACATTTCAAATCAACATGCTACTTAATTTTACATCAAAAGAAACATGCATTGCAAAATGCATTAATAAAATACCCTACCTTCAGGCTGCTGTTCACTGTCAGTATCTTGTTTTTTCCCCCCAGCTCCTCTTTTATTAACTTTGTCAGAGATTTTGGGTTTTTCAGTCTCCTCTACTTGAAACAAGGATCTCTTTATGCTTTCCCTGTGCACTGGTTACAAGCATTTTATTGTCTATTTCCCCTCTGGAAGCCACGAGAGGTTCCTCACCTTTTGACTTTGAGATTGCAATAACGTCTTCTTCTGGACTCATATCTCCTAGAATTTCCATTTCTTCTGGTCCTGCAACAGCAACAATATCCTCCTCTTCTGGTCCTGCAATGGCAGCAATTTCTTCTTCTTCTGGCCCTGCAACAGCAACAATGTCTTCATCGTCCTCATCCTCGTTCAGATTTTTCCCTGGGAAAGTATTTTCTTCTTCCTCATCCTCCTCTCCAACTTCATCTACCGTAACAAAGTTTAGCTCCTCTTTTAGACGATTGAAATCAGCCAGAAAATCATCTTCATCTTCATTAACTTCATCCAAAGTCACTAGTGGGTTATCTTCATTGTCCTCTTGTATTTCATCTACTGTCACTAAAGCACTAGGATCATCAGGCACCTGAGACGAAGCACCATCTCCAGTATCCTCAGCAGCCACTTTATCATCCTCCTTGCATTTCAGCACATCCTCAATATTCAAGTCTGTAGGCTCATTGAGAGGCAGCTCTTCTACTTCACCGATTTCATCTACAGTTACCAAGGGTTCAGCTTTCAAATCACGCTCCTCAAAAACTGACCTAGGGACATCTTTATGAGAACCAAGGTCCTCCTGTTCAGATATCTCATCCAAAGTAACAAGCGACTGCGGATCCTTCACTGCTTCTGACATAAGTTCTTCTTCTTCAAGCACTTCATCCACTACAACCAGGCCCTGTGGGTCGCTGAGCGCTTCTAGACTAGCGACTCCCATTAGCTGTGCAGTCATATCCTCCTCCTCACCGATCTCGTCCAAAGTGACAAAAGAGAGCTCGCTTTCAGCAATGCGTGCCGTGGAGCTTTTCCCTTTCCTTCTCTTAGAACTAGGCTCTGAAGAGGAATTGTTTTTAGCACCATCTTTTCTCTTTCCCCTCGGTGGATTTCGCCGTGTTTTAATGGGAGACTCGATTTCCTCTACGACCTCATCCACAGTAACAAATTCATCCAGGTTAAACGGAAACAGCTCTTCTTCCTAGAAAGCGTAAAAATGTGAATATTACAAAGTTTAACGTTCACCCAGTGACAAAAACACCTCCATCCACAGGGTGCTTAATGAAAAATGTCTACACACTGAAGCTGTCTGAAGGGGAGAAAAAAATGCGACTTAAGAGTAGAAAAAATTTTCAGGCCTTCAGTCTCATGTGGAAGAGTTTTTGTTATCAGTATTTGCGTTAAGCAAGCAGATTTAGTTCAGAAATCCAAAGCATTTTTCAAAAACACAGATGGATGAACAGACAAAATTTAAGTCTCTTAAAAGAACTGGGCCAATGCCCTGAAACTCATGTATAGTTTTCCACTCACTTGCAGGAAGACTAGTGAAAACCTGAACACCTCCAAAGCATCCTTCAAAAACACCAGCATCTTCTGTCATAGCTCATTCCCCTCCCTAAGCATATGCTGTTGGCTGCTACTACAACACAGGAGACGACATTAGATGTTTCGATCCAGCAAAGCCATTCTGTGTCCTGGTGACTACTCCCCGTTTCATCTCCCAACAAACATTCCTGTTTCAGAGAGGTTCTCCAGTGGCCCTGCGCTCCAGCCCAGGAAAGGGCTCCCAGTACTGGAACCTCCCCTTGTTTCTCTATAACCAACACGTGCAAGATAATTTTCTCCTTTCTGTTAAGGTCTGACTAAGCCGCACAGACGCTCTAGCACTCGCTGCTCCTCCTTGTGCCAGCTGTATTTTGTTAGGGGCCGGGGGCAAGCTCCAGTTTTCTGGCAAATGCCTGGCTGCATTTTTATGTTTAAGATGACAGAGCCTGACGCTTTGTAATTCTCCTCAGTCAGCGGCATGCTCTTACTGGAGCACGTCTTGCATCTAAAACTCCTCCTACCCCGCCGCTCGACCATGCCAGCTTCCATCGGGGCTCACACAATTTATTCTAGGACCACTGGAAAGGATTATAAGCAATTTAATGCCATATGCAGCTGAGACAATCTGGAGGAGGATATATGTATACCTGTTGAATTTAATAACAGGCTGAATTAACCCAAATTACTTTTAGGTTATTTGAATAAAGAGTAGTCATGTTTTTGGAACAGAGCATTATACTTTGTTCACTGTGAAATAGCTATGCTTTTATAATCAGGACAGTAGGATACAGTAGATAAGATCTGTACCTGAAGTCAATTAATAAATTAATTTTAGAGAGTAAAATGCATCCAAATATCCATTCCACCCCAAATTATGCATTCAATTTCTTCAATGAACGATTCTGAATCCTCCCCCACCCCCGCAAATTATTCCATCCTATCATCAAATACTGGTCGGTATCTAACGAAGAAAAGTGAAAAAAACCTTGTCAAAGCAGAATTTTAAAGGCCAAGGCAAGATGAACTTTCCTCCATTAGAGAGTAAGACTGCAGCTAAGGAATAGTAAGAACAAGCCTCCAGCAGAAAAAGTAATCTGAAATTCAAAGGCTATATGCCTTTTCTCCCCTTTCTTTTTTAAAAAGCTAACAAACACTAGGAATAATGTGTGCTTCCACCCACATTCTGATGCAGAAACTTGAGGAATATTTAACGCAAGGTGGGCACAGCGAAGAAAATGAAAGAAAATATCTGATTACATTTCCACTGAAATCAAATGTTACCCTCTTCTTTCTTCCATGAAAAGGAGAACACAGATCTTGGTTCTTATCAGCTGTGTAACAGTGAAGAATAAAGCAGTAAGAAGTAACTGACATTACAAAGACTTTTTTTCAAAGGGTGCAGACTTTACTCTTAGGGATTCACAAACACATCTGGAACATCTGATACGGAAGCATTCTGTTACCATCACTACCATCAACCTCACAAACACACTGTGCTGGTGATGCGAGAAGTTTATGTGGGTTAAGATTAACAAAAAGGATTCAGGTCTCCAACTTTCTCTCAGAAATCCCTTTTCCATAGGGACCCACTACTCACCTAGTTGACCTTTGATTTGATCCTGTAATGCTACTACTACAAACTCATCGATACGGATTTTTATTACCTTCTTTCTGCTTTTCTTTCCCAAAGCCCAAGCTATCTACGACAGAGAGAGAGCATATCTTTTCACCTTCCTGTAAAAACGCAGACTGAGCAGTTTGGCCTATAGGCTCCCAAGCTCTTCTTCCAACCAAGCCTGCACCAAAAATTTATAGTAATCCTTGCTTTGCAGAACAACCCACTGGAAATATCTTTGCATGGAAGAGGCACCATGGATGGAGATGTTCTGACTACCTCCTGTTGTACAAAATCATTTATAAACTTCAGCCTGCCTTCCTCTTCTCACAAGTGTGATGATAAATAAAGATCTTATGCCGGCAAATGGGGAACCAATGAATTCATTCTCTCAAACAAATTATATCCAAGACCAAAAAATATCTCCGCTTAACACTCACTTCCAGAATTAAGTTTCTCTTCCAAATTACTTGTCTTTACAGCTTTATGCCTGTCATCTGTAATAACTAGTAATACGAAAAACTCCCCAGGGAAGGACAGTAAAGATTCTTAGTACACACACACACGTGCACATTCAAGACAATCTGTACTTTGAGTTCAGTTACGGTTACATCCTTACCTCCTTTTGTTTTGCACTGCTGCTAGTGCCACTTTTTGAAGTTTTAGTGTTGCCACCAACAGAAGCCTGCAAAATTAGACAAAAGTTCACATGAAATCAGTTAAGCCAACTAACCTATCCATAAGAGAAAAAATAATTTTAAAATTCAGCTACTTTTTCCCTTAATGAATTTTAAGTTGTCCAGATTGCTGCTTCTGATCACATGCTTGGCAAATACAGAACTAAGCCAGCCGTCAGCGGTAGAGTCCAGGCATACAGTCTCTAGCAACAAGTCACAGGTAACACCTTGCTTAGTAGCCTCTCTTCAGTAACCAGCGTCTGTGCAGGACTTGACAAAGCAAATACCAGCTCATAAAAGGACAGAAAGCTTACTCACTCCCATTCAGAACTAATCCAAGAACATAAAGTTGTGACACTCAATAAAGACTCGCTTCAAAAATACCTTCCCGCAATTTTTTCCAAGTAGCATTTTCAAACCAGTTACATACTTGCGTTGCACACACTGCATCTAAAAGCAACTGGTTGCCCACCATCTCGCTAGTCCAACTTGTCTGTTGGCCCAAACCAGCTGAGAGATTTATGGAAAAGGGAAGGGGAACATAATCTCATTGTCCCATACTCAACATCTGAGAGAAGCATGGAGTTAGTTACTGATCAGGCACACTGAACCGGCCTTCCTGCCCTCCTCACCTTATTGCTGTTGTTGTCTTTCTTCATGCTGGATGATCTACTCTCTCCCTCTTGAGACTGTTTTGAACTAGCCCTAGATTCCACTCGTGAGTCCTTCTCTTGCTGAGATGAATTCCTCCCATTGCCTCCCTTTCCATCAACAACAGAACTTCTGCTCACTTTGCATTTGCCGCTGCCATCTCCTGGGCTTGATCGGCTGCCACCAGGTCGCTGATGACCCTCTTCTTTTGATGCGATCCTCTTCTCCACCTCCACTTGGCCTTGGGTCTCAGGTTTCGAGAGAGCTTTCTGCTCCCCTCCTTTACACAGGGAAGGCTCATTTCTCTGTACTGGAACCCTTGACTTTGATATATCCGGAAGAGACACGACTGCCTTTAAAATCGTTTTACCAACAGAGGAAGATTCCTTGACAGACAAAGAGGAGTTTAACGTAACTGCGTTGCAGACTTCATCAGGTTTTGCTGGTCCTGTTCCTTTATTTTGATGTGCTTTGATTAAACTTCCCTTGTTCTCATTGACAGCATTTGCAGCGTTTTCCACAGCAGCCCTAACCTTGGCCACAAATTTTGCAAGTCTCTTCTCTGTCTCTGCCCCAGTCTTGACCAAAAGCTTTTCAGGGTTCTCCTCTGCAGCTCTTCCAACTGTGAGCGCAGACTCTTCTGGTTTCACCTCTGTGCCTGCTCCCGCTATGTCCAGTTTCTTCTCCATGGCCGACCCAGATCTTAGTACAGGTTTCTTCTCCGTTATCTGAGTTACAGGCATCTCATGTTCGGTTTTCATCGCGTCAGAAACAAGCTTTTTTTCAGGAGCATCCAACTTGTTTGTTGGTGTGACAACAGGTGACACCACCTCCACTGAAGCTGCATCAGAATCAGGGGGCTCCGCTTCAGGGACGGCGCCCATCGATGCCCCTGCTGCCGGCTGCACAGCACAATCTGATGGCACATCTTCAGCCTTGCCTACGTTGGACAATTCTTCTGGTGGTTCAAAGGCAGGAGCAGACAACTCTTCAACTTTCTCTTTAATTTCCTTCTCTGATGCAGATACAACAGCAGATTCAAACAGCTCCGGTTCAGTATTGTCTTTAACTGCCTCTTCTTTCTCCACCTTGGAAGAAGGCAGCAGCATCTCTTCTGACTTCACTTCAGATGATTCAGTATCAGCAGATTTGATAGATGCCACAGTAGCTTCAGCTCCAGTGCCCGCTTTCTCCACAGACGTTTCTGCCAGTCTTGGAGCAGATGCCCTTCCTGCTCCTTCAAGATGGGACTCAGAGGGCTCTATCTGTACTGCTGACATCCCGTCTTTGACATTAGAGATGGAAATGGGTCCTTTCTTTGCCACACTAGGCTCTACTGGAGGATTAGCAGCTGCTGTTTGCACCACTCCTGATCCCTCTGGATATTTTTTCAAGCCAGAGCTAAATGCATTTAAAAAAAACAGAAGAAATCAAACTATGTTGAGAATTCTACAGTTAGCAGTAACCTCTTGACGCCAATGGTGGGGGATTTCCTGATGCATTAGTGCTTAGCATTTGGAAATCTAGCCTATCAGTGTTAAAATGGTTAAAAATATTGAGGCGAATAGCTGATTAGTTTTATGCTTCTGTTTAATCCACCTCAGCACCACGAGCCTCTTACACTTCGAATTACATTACTTGTAGTCAGACCTCTCAAGGTAGCACTCACTACAGATGTGCCCCGTGAGCTCAGCACTGGCACAAACTCCTAAAATTTAGATCCCCTGATGCAAGGCAGACTGTGAAAGCGTATATACAGCAAAAATAAAGCTTCAGTCTCCCTGTATAAAGGAATTACCATCGTTTTATGTTTGAAGACAGCAGACTCTGCAGTCACCAACCTGGAGAACTCTTCCAGTAGCTAGGAGTCTGAGGTTTGTTCACAGTTTTTGGTTCAGGTTTGGGGGGAGGGAAGGGTTGCTTTGTTTTTAAACTGCATTGACCTCGCACAATAGTGGGGAACACAATACACGCACAGAGGCTCCTTTTGGCCAGGCTCTGTTTTCACTGTATAATCCCACTGTCAGCTCCCAGGATAATAAAGCCCAAGATGACAATGCAGAGGATAGCGGTTTTCAGAGAACTGGAGTTACAGTAAGTGCATTATTCTTCTCTGAAAGAAAGAATCCTCCGTAGATGATCTTGGGAGACACTGAAATTAGAGATGGCTGTGCCCCTTTTCCCACAAAGCTCGAGAAAACGAGCATCTCAACACCTCATGCATCTCTAGATGGAAAAGTGCCAAAATACCAATGCTGACAATCTCGCAAAGTGTCAAAACAAACACAAAAGCAGCAAACACATAATTAATCAGTGATTATGCACAATGGAGCAGCCTGCGCTATGGTTTCTCAGAACCTATGCATATGAATAAAGGGTGCACATTCATATAAACCCTCATGAAAATAATAAAAAAAGAGCAGAGAAGTCTGCCATTTAGGTAATACTCCTAGCATGAAGTGAGCAAAAAAAAGGGAGGCTAGATCAAATGGAACGCAGCGCTGAAGGAAATGCTAACTCTTGAAGCAGCCAGATGCAAGGGTTAACAAGACAAAGACACAATACATGGAGTCAACAGAAAGATGAAAAACAGGCAAATTCAGTTAACATCTGTGCTATGCAAGCACAACAAAAACACCAGTCTTGAAGGTTTCCTCCAGACCCGAGGGCACTCTCCTCTGCTGCTACAAAATGCAAGAGGAAAGAGAAGAAAGGGTATGAATTCTGCTTCAAAACCTCTTTCACAAGACCAATTTAAAATTGGCATAGATGTAATAGGTCATGACTAGGCATCAGATGGATACTTGCAGCGCACTATGAGGGACTCCTCCCCCAGCACAGCGGCAGGACCGCAGCGTTCCGCGGCTTGGCAGGCAGCGCTGGCAGGAGCGATGGAGCGTGCGTGCTCCCAGCAGTGCCCCGCAAAATGCTGGGAATCTCCTTCAGAGCCCAAGCGGCTCAACTCACAGTAACTGAAGTGTTATGAAAGAAAAGCACCCTCTCTCGTTCAAACATCGCGCTCATCTCTAACAGGCTCCTTAACCTGTAATCAATTTAAACCTGCAAATGTTTTGGGCTAAGCGTGCCTCAGGAGCAGCTAAGCAGTCAGGGCTGATCTGCTTGTTACGCCACAGTATCAGTTTATTCAGTCACAACACAGAAGATATTTTGACATCGATTAAACGTTGTTTTGTGTTTCAAAAGCAAAAACTATTTCAGTCAATCTTCTCTTCTATTTGAGCATCCTACAGACCACGGAGATTTGTGTCTCGCATGCCTGTGTAGCAAAACGTTACCTGGGTAAGTCAGAGTACAAAGCCCAGAAGTGCAGCTCTGAAAGCCCAGGTTTGTCACTGATGCGTAGAAAGCTCAATTAAATAAAAGTCTCGCTAAACTGTACCCCATGGCCTCCCGTTATACGCTTTTTGCAGGGAACAGAAAAATGTCAGTGAACACTGGAAGCATACACTAACTACGCAGCTTACAGTGAGTAGCGGACACATATCATCCTCTACACAATTCAAATGAGATATTAGTCTCCGAATCCTCTAGACTTTATGCCTCCTTTCATGCCAACAGCCACTCTGTGCCTTCCACAAAGCCCTGGTGGCCTCCAAAATACACTGATAGATTCAAACCAGGCTGCGAAGCAGTGGAAGGAGAGCTCTGCAGAGGCAGTAATGCGCAGAGGGCAGGATGAGTGAGCCTGATGAAGCATCAAGGGGCTTGAAGTAACACTGTTAGGCATTGGGAAAGAAACAGCGCGCAGACCTGCAAGACAGATTTTCTGCACAGAAGTTAGCGTAGAGGGCAAAACCAGCAAGACCTGGTGCCCAGTTTCTCCACAGGACGTTCCTCTCAGGCATTACTGCCTGAGTTAGCGAGGGAAAGGCTCGGAGAGTTCAGTCCTAGAGATGCCAGCATAGAGGCTGTGTCACAACAGAGACACAACCTGCTTCCTACACGTCAGCTCAGGATTAAAAGGAGCAGTGGGATGGTCCTTGAGCCTTAACCCAGCCAAGAAAAGTTTCAGCTATTTTAGCTGAAGAAAACAAATCCCAACAAAATGCATCAGCATCCTTGAAAAGAGCGGAGGCTTCACGTAAGCGCGTCGGCCACCTCAGCCGCAAGGTTAGATGAACTACCTCCTCAGGTTGGACAGCAACAGAGCTTCCAGAAGTATTCCAAAGCTTTAAGATCATCTCAGGCAACCGAGAGGGCAGCCCCTTCTGCTCCCCAAATTTTGCTACTCCTTCCCTCCCCAGAAACACATGACAAGGTGTTCCCATATAAATAATATTAAAGATATTTTCTGCTTCTCATAAAAATGTAGCTCAAAAGAGTAACTGATGAGGTCACAAAAGCTGACAAGGAGAAGACGGTTGCCTCAGACAAGGAGACAGTGCAGGGCATTATTTGTAGGGTAAGAACATCAGTTTTCCCATCTGTTCAGCAGCCACAGCAGGATGCTGGCCAGGAGCTGGGCTTCATGAGGGAGTCACTTGTTTTGATTAACTACCACCGCTAGCTAAAGCCCACCAGTCTGGATCCAAAAAGGTTACCTGCATGTCTGCCTACGCGTGAGTCAGCGACAGTTCGGAAACCAAATGCTTCCAAGATTGACTAGGGCCTGAGTAGAACTTCCATTAAATTAGGAGTGCCTAACTTTACTTTTGAAAGAAACAGGTTTTGGAAACACAGTAGCAGTCCATGATAGCTTAATGGCATTACTTGAAATCGAAGTTTAGGACCATTATTACACAGTGGCTTTTTTTTTTAATGATAAAACTTATCCAGAAATATAGATTTGAGTGACAGAATGTGTTTTAAGGCATATTTGTTAACAAGAACTCTTATAATGATCTATCCATTTATAAAAGTACTCCCAAAACATGAAACAAGACTCTAAAACCAACAAATAGTTCCTCCACAATTAGAAATTTTACTACACGCAATGTCCATAAAATAATTCTAAATGGAACATACCAAAATCACCATTTCCCATTTCTAGGTTCTGATGTTAATATAGCATCTAAACATTTTTTAAAATCAATTCAGGGCCCTGTATCACAGCATGAAGTTAATGTTAATAAGTTAAACAAGGAAGTTTCAGTTTATTTTTAGCATTTGGAAACAGAAACAATAGAGCCAGGTGCTCTGACAGAGGAAAGCACTGTAGGACGAAATAAAGCAATCACTTCCTGGTTAAATACAACAAAAAATTGTCTTACCAACATGTATATCCAAACACACTTTCCAGGACCTGTGATAAAATCCTGGCTAAATTAGTAAAACAATAACAACTCAACAAACTACACAGAAAACAGGATTTCACCCCATTTGTCCATGTTCTTTCAAAGAAATCACAAACATTACAGCTCTACAGCAATATACTACACGTCCTGCACACACAGAACACACAGAAGCTTGAAAGAAGTAACAGCAGGTAACAGTTGATGGATCTCACAGCGGGCCTTTTCATCAAGCTTAGTTGGAAAGATGGCTCAGCAATCTGCTTAATTTTGGATATTCATTCCACGAACAGTATAGATATATAAAAAACCACATTAAATACGTGAAAGGCATACCTTCCTTTGCTTGGTTCCTCCTTCTTCACTTCTTTTTTCACAACTTCAGCCTGGAAGGCAAAAATCAGGGTTCAGTATCTATGACTTTCAGAAGTAGCAGCAGAGAATTTGCATAACCCAGCTAATTAATAACACCATGACCTCAAATTTAGGCATGTATCACCTGAAAGATCAAATGACAGTAAATTGTTCTAAAACTGTTCCCCGCCAAACACATACTTCGTAAGATGACAAATAGAAGTGCAAGGCAGTGTAAGAGATTTTACTAAAAGTTTGCCAGACAGAACACACAGCACACCACTAACTGCTTTGTTCGCCTCATCTTCAACACTGTCATGTTTCTGAGCAGAATTAGCTTTTGGTCTGTGATATATTTGGGGGAGAGGGATGTTAAATGCATCTTTTCCCAGGCAACACCTTCTTTCCTGTATTGGCTGCAGAGCTCAGGGTGAATACAGTTAGCCTGGCAGGTGAATACTATACAAAAAACAGCATCACATCTTTTCTAAAGACAAATTATATTCCAACTCAAGCAATTATCTACAGAAAACCCAAGGCCAGATTCTATTCCTTAAAACTTGCTAATGTAGCATTCATTTCTCGTAGGACAACTGCACCTTTCTGCTATGTAAAATAAACTTATAATAAATGTGAAATGAAATAATGTCTTCTGAAAAAAAGATAACCACAAACCATTCAAGCTCTGCAGCTCTCACACTTAGTAGCACAGGTCCAAGCAATCAAAAAAACCCCACAACTTTAAAAACTCAGTGTTGAAATCTTAATCTCTTTTCTGAAGGCATTCTATAAGCAAATTTGAAGATTATCACTATTAGAAAGAACATCAGATAAATTCAGTGCACATAGAATTCACTTTCATCTTTTATTTATGCACATAATTCCAAAGCCTTCAGTCTTCCTTTTCTAAAAATATGTATTCCAGAGATAAGTGCCAAAAGTAATTTGATCATGTTATAATGAATTAAAAATTATTTTCTTTTTCCTTCAGACTGGCTCCTGAATGAAAGGCTTCTAGAGAAAATAGCTTACGGCAAATGGAGCTACAAGTTTAATGTTCCTATGGTACCTAGGCATGTAATACAGAGTCTGGCAACATAACCCAGAAGATGGAGAAGAGGTAACGGAATCCAAATGCAGTGAAGAATAACAGATGGAAAAAACTCCGTCTTCCCTCTTATCAGTGGGACCAGGCATTTTTCTCTCCACCTCAGATATAGATAAAAATAAAGATTAGGAGTGTATCTCCAAAATACAAATTTATTTGAACATTTGTGCAAAAGTCGTCAGAGTTGCATTGACAAAGACTGGAACGACACCAGTTGCAGCCATGCTGCGCGATGCTGTATTCCAGCTGCACAACCTCCTTCACCGTTACAGGAGCTTCCTCAGATTTTTGTTATTTCAGCAGTATTAAATCCAGACATTTATCAGCAAAATTACAGAAATGAAACTATAATGTGATTAAGCGAGCACTTACATTACTGCTGTTACTATGCCACTGGCACCAGTTACTGCTATCTGGCTGGTCAACCTCTCTAAATCAGACAAGCACTCTGTATCACCCCGAGTGCGCAGCTGGAAAGAAATATTATTTTGAAAACAGTGTGTGAATGCCATTCTTTGTTGGCATTGAACTCTAGTCTGATGAAACATTTATAGTGACAAAGGCACGTTATTCTGTTGCTACACAAGATACAGGGAACAGCTGTAAAAAGCTGATTTGAATCACGAAGTGTTCCCACAGTGCATCCCTGACAGACATTCCTTCATGTGAGCACTTTAATGAATGATATTTCGCTTAAGCTCCATTAGCACTGAAGAATATTATTTACATTTTCTAGAGTTAAGGAAAAGCTCATAAGCCTGAAGATTTGGTTATTTACCTCAGCTACAAAGTTAGCCTAAAAAAAATACTATTCTCAAACGGATCTGACATAATCAAACACAATTATACTTTATGTTGTTAAAAATGATCTGAAGTTCACCATATAAATTGAAACACAAAATAAAGTGGCTTGGAAGAATCATCAAATAGAATCACAGACTGGTTTGGGTGGGAAGGGACCTCTAAAGGGCATCTGGTGTAACCCCTGCCATGGGCAGGGACATCTGCACCCAGGGCAGGGTGCTCAGAGCCCCACCCAGGCTGACCTGGGATGTTCCCAGGGATGGGGCATCCACCACCTCTCAGGGCAACCTGGGCCAGGGGTTCACCACCCTCATTGAGAAACATTTCTTCCTTGTATCTAGTCTAAATCTCCCCTCTTTCAGTTTAAAACTGTTACCCTTGTCCTGTCGCTACAGGCCCTGCTAAACAGTCCGTCCCCATCTCTCTCCCCAGCCCCTCTCAGCCCCGGCAGCTCCAGGAAAGGTTCCCCCCCCCAGCTCTCCCAGCCTGTCCTCCCAGCAGAGCTGTTCCAGCCCTCGGAGCGGTGCTGGGGCCTCCTCTGGCCCCGCTCCAGCAGAAGAGCATGTCATATCCCATACAAAACAGTCAGCAATGGGGAGAATCATCCCTGCAAATGGAGAAGAGGAGAAAGAGAGAAAAAAAGAAACCTCTTGGAACACTAATCCAGGCTCTTGCTTCTAGCTGAAAAGAGGACCGTATGCACCCACACTCACCAGATTTTAGCTATCAGCACTTTACCTGCAGTGGGTGCCCACCCTGCATCAGAGGTCCCAAGGGACACGAGCCAGCCCACCTCACCCCACCCCTGCCAAACCGACAGCACCACGCCTCCACACTCATCTGGTCGAGACGCAGCGTTCAGAAGGAAAGCTCCCTGACTCAAATATGTAATTAAAAAGCATTTTCAGTGTTATTATAGTGACTCTAAGCTAGCAGAAACTTTGATGGGAGGGTCGCTCCTGATGAACAAACTATGCCCCTTCAGCCACAGACAAAGGCCCAGAACAAGAGGGTGGGAAGATCTGGGAAGGTAGGCTGATCACGGAATCTCTGCCGACATTTCAAAGAGTCACACTTACCAAAAGGGAAACCACTAACTGATTTTACGCAGGCGAAACTCTGCACGTGCACAGTAGCTGCTGACTTACTTAAAGGGGCACGATGAATCCACTCAAAACACATGTGTGTCCAAATCACATCCGGTCGTGCATCGTTGTTTGTCCTACACCATCACAGGTGCAACTCGACGACTATGGCAGGACTGCCCTACCAGAAATGTAATGCCTAAATTCTCTGCTGACACAGTATGTCTCTAAAAACATGAATCCTCAACACTGTACAGCTACCCCACAGACTTTGTGAATAAGGATGCTTTTCAATAAAACCAAAGAAATTGCCAATACAGTAGAGAACAGCATCACAGAATCATTAAGGTTGGAAAACACCTTTAAGATCACCACGCCCACTAAACCATGTCCCGACGTGCCACGTCCACACATTTTTTGAACACCTCCAGTGATGGTGACTCCACCATCTCCCCGGGCAGCCTGTGCCAATGCTTGACCACTCTCTCAGTAAAGAAATTTTTCCTAATATCCGATCTAAACCTCCTCTGGCACAACTCGAGGCAGTTTCCTCTCGTCCTGTCGCCGGTTACGTGGGAGAAGAGACCAACACCCACCTCACCACAACCCCCTCTCAGGCAGTTGCAGAGAGCGATGAGGGCTCCCCTCAGCCTCCTCTTCTCCAGACTGAACACCCCCAGCTCCCTCAGCCGCTCCCCATCAGCCTTGTTCTCCAGG